CTAATGTAGCTCTTTTTGTTGTCCTAGCACCTTTTACAAATGTCGGGTGCGATGCTCTCCTCCACCACCAAACCCAAAATGTTCTTCCTACTGGCTTTGCTTTCACACAGCCCCCTTGGGTGCCCCTAAAACTTCCTTCYCTGCCTCACTCGCACCCCACATCTCCACATGAAGGGAAGGAAGACACTGGGCTCACCATCTCTGCTGGGTCTCCAAACACAGATTCACACACACAAGCCAAGAGCTGCATCCCCAGGGCTCACTGCCCTGTTTTCAGGTAGGAAGGACATTTTGGGTTTCCCCATGACCCTAAAAGCACATGACTGTGTCTCTCCTCATCCCCACACCCTTTCCATCGTTATCTCACTCAGATCTGTCCRTGTTTCTGCACAATCCTTGAGGATCACAAAGCAAAAGTCCCTGTGTGACACAAGACCTACTGCTGTCACCAGAGTGGTGTCCGTGCTTCGGGGAACGCGGTCATCAGCAGCAGACAAATTCTGCATCAGAGCTGTGATGATTCAGGGGGTTTTAGGGTGKTTTTTTCTTTCCCAGCAGCCAATAAGAGCACTCAGAGAAGCGCTCTTTTTCGGGCAGGAAGCAGGGCAGTGACTCCTTCAGCTCTCGGGCTCCTGACGCGGTGGAGATGGCAGTGAACTTCACCTGCAGCTTCATTTCCCTCTGCTGTCTGACACTCTGGAGCTTCACCGCGACTGCAGCTGGTGAGAATGGGAGATTATTGCTGTTTTTCTCATGGTTCAGGTCCTGTGAGTGCTGCTATGTAATGCTGTGGTCAATAAAAGCCTTTCTCCAGCACAGCAGGGCTCGGGCTGCAGCTGAAAACCCAACTGCTCTCAAGACTTTCTCCTCGTGTAGTGAACCGTGCCATGCAGGGATATCATTCGGGGATTTTAAAGTCATTTTATGGTTTTAACTCATTTGTCAGTGTTTAAACTCYGCGTGACCTTGATTATTAGATCGAAAGACTGCGGGTAACAATCTGACTGCTAAGTTCAGATGGACACTTGAGCGCCGATTAGCTGACTTTTAATGAAGCATTACCCTGTTTCATTTCTTTCTTTGCTGAGCAAGGGAACTCTCCTGATTGCAGCTGCCCTTAAATCTTTAGAATGGGAGCTGCAGAGAGMAGTGTTTTTCTCGGAAGGTTTTAGCTCTGTTTCAGTATTACTTTGGCTCCCATACACGGAAAGAACTCAGGGATGGTGTTTGGTGAGGCAGCAGCGTTTGAGTTTCTGCTGTGGTTTCCTTTTGGGGGCTGCAGAGGCACGCAGGAACTCTGCCACGTCTTAAATGTAAAGATAAAGCCTCGTTTTAAGAGGGGGAGGAAGTTTTGAAAGGAGGGAGTAAGTTTTGAAAGGAGGGAGTAAGTTTTGAAAGGAGGGAGTAATGGGGAGGAGGTTTTCGGAGCATCTGATGGGGAAAAAAAGAAATCAACCTGTTGCAATCTGCTTATTTATGCAATCCACAGGGTTGCTCCTTCATGCTGCAGGGATAAGGCCCCCAAAATAATCCTCCAAAGGAGGAAAGCACAAGAGAGAGCCTCTTAATACAGCACTCAGCTCATCTCTGCAAGAACCGTCCCTGTTTGCTCAATAACCGTGGCTGACTGGTAACTTTGAGCAGGAAAAGAGTCCAACCCTGTCATTGTCCAACAAGGAACAGGAGGAGGGCTGGCTTTTCCATCTCTGGCTTTTCCATCTCTTCACATTTCCAAGCCCAGGATGGGCTCTGGAATGTGAATTCTCTGGTTCTAAGCATCTCTGACCGGGGCAGCAGGAGCTGTCTGCTCACATGGTGGGATCACTCTCAGAATTGCAGGTGCCTGGCCAAGTCCTGCRGAGCCTCTGCTCCCACCCAGGCCTGGATATCTCAGGAATGCTGCTTTGCCCAGAGCCCTGCAGTGCTGTTTGACCCTCTGAGCCAGGTCTGCCTTGAGCTTGGAACGAGGCCATCCCCTTACACAAATCAAAATTTGTGAGTAATGGCATTCAAGCCAAGCCAGGGAAGAAATGGGCAGAAAAGGCTGCAGAGAGGAAAATCAGAATAACAGGTACCTCACATCTGATAGTTGCTGGGGTTTGGGAATACAGCACTGCAAACTGCTCCAAAARTTATTCCAGACSAGTGTGTGAGCTGTGCAGKGACYACCTTGAACGAGAATCAAAGCATAAAAAAAAAATCTAAATCCTGGCCTTCAGGAATCTGCATCCTCAGAGGAAAACAGTAGGGTAAAGTCCTCCCTCAGGGGCTCAGTAGATTTTTTACCCCCACTTTGCTCTAGAATGGGTCACTTTCAACACCAACTGGCAACAGGTGAAAGAGGTAAAACACCCAGTACCCCTTGGTGAGAGCTGGGGTGAAATAAAACCCTGTAATTGTCACCTGCTTACAACAGCCAGTGTATTTTTCTGCCTGCCTTCACCTGTCCAGCTTGCAGGACTGTGGTTCACCCCTCCAGGTGATTTCAGGATGCATTTCAGAGCCCTGGCCATGTGTAACTCTGCTGGATCTCATGCACTGGAGTCAGTCAGTCTTGGACTCTGATCCTTGGTTTAATTCGCACACAATTGTTTTCTTCCCACACACACGGGGTGATCTCACCCGCTCTCATTCACCCCGTGAATTTTACAAAAGACCTCACGTGACTCTCGAGAGGTGTTGAGGGCTCTCAAAAGCCACAAAAGGACATTGTGTTAAAGTTGAAAGAGCCTGTGGTTATCACCTCCTCCTACAAAGAGCAGTATTTGATGTCGACATCCCCACCACGGCCACACCTGACTTTGTGAGAGCAGAAATTCTTGCATCCCTTGGGACCTACACAGGGGTCATTAGGGTAGCTGGGGTATCAGCCAGGAAGAGAAAAGGGTTTGGACATCATTGGCTTAAGGAGGGATGTGGAATTGAGTGTCTCCTTCACAGGTCAAGGCAYAAATCCCTGAGCAGGGTTACAAGTGGGTGCAGCAATTCACACCTGTGAGGAGGATGCGACAGTGCAAGCAGGACGTGCATAAGCAACGTGTGAGATCAATTTTTTGCCACCTTCCATGCTGATGATGGCACATAATTATGGTTTGGTGGGCTTTTTCATTGTGGTTTTTTTAATTCTTTTTTTGAGGTTTTTTGGTGCGTGTTTTGGGTCTTTTTTTTAAATTCTGTTTTGTTGTTGTTGTTGTTGTTGGGTTTTTTTGTTGTTTTTTTAATAGACTCTGGGCCACCTAGCCACCCCTGCCTTCTACTCAGGTTTCTCAGCGTAAAGTGGCTTAAAAACACAGCCTATRTTCTGTGCAACTGGCTGTGGGTGAGAGGTCTGTTTGAAAAAAGCTAGAGGTGACAAAAAGCYTGAGTTTCACAGCAGATTGGGTACAAAGTCTGCGTGTACAAGCAAACTCAGGCTGCCTGCACAAACACAGAATTACCTCCTGCATTAGCAGGAGTCTTGCTCCTAGCATTAGCTCAAGCCTTGGCATTAGCAGTGGCTGCAYGGCACCTTCTGAGGYTGGGRATTTTTTCCTCTTCTTTGATTTCARWAGTGGKAAAATGCAGGGGAAGGCAGATGTAAAATGGGATGAAATGAWAATATCAACTGTGAGCTTTGAGTTTCTTTTAAATGATTGAAAAATAAGCAGTGCATGGGGAAACAGCTCCACAAGCAAGTACAATTGTGCAGTAAAGATTCTGTGAAGTGCTCTGATGTGAAAGGTCATGGGCTAACCCCCACTCCCAAATTTCTATCATCTCCTACACACCTTGCTTCTCCACTCCATGACCTTGGTAATCATAGAATTATTTGGGCTAGAAAGGACTTAAAAACCATCTACTTCCAACTCCCTTGCCTTAGAAAGGGACACCTTCCACTAGACCAGGYTGCTCAAAGCCCCATCCAGCCTGCACTTGAAAACTTCCAGGGATGCAGCAAGTACCAGTGTCTTATCACCCTTTCAGTGAASAATTTCTTCCTAATATCTAAATTTTCCTAACATAAAAACCTCAAGATGCCATCAAAGTTTTAAGGGTGGGGTGTGGGGGGAAGACTTTTATCTGTAAGATAAAATATGCAATTAAGAACAGCAGGACTCTCGAGCCAGTGTTTAATGTTATCAGAACTATGCTGTACTCAGAGCAGCATGTTCTATCTTTATAACAGATTCTAAGTTGGTCCTTCTATAAACTGGGAGTCGTACCAGAGACATTTAAATAATTATTTGTCATACTCTGGCTTCTTCTAAGTCATTTTGAGCTATGCTATCACTTCTGGCAGCATCTCTTTATGTCACCTCATTTCCCAAGACTATTTCACCACTTCAAACACATAAAGGAAAATTACTTTGTAATGGAAGTACAAATCCATTGGACAAATAAAAGGATTTAGCACTGGTTCAGAAGGCTGAAGCTGCCACCCTTTCAGGCCCCTGATGTGTTTTACCCAATGTTTTGTGTTGTTCCAGTCACAAAAGTGCCACCACCCCACTCAACMGTGAGACCCGGCTCCCCCGTGCCAGTGAACACCAACAACCCCGGGGTCCGCCGGGCCGCTCGCTTTGGGGTCTACAGGTACAACAACAGCTCCAACGACCTCTTCCTGTTCAAGGAATCACACATACAGCAGGCCATGGTCCAGGTAAGAGCAGCACAGTCCTGGTGCTCCTCCAGATCCAAAACAGGACAGCCCTGAGCCTCCTCAGGACTGCCAGAGCTGTCCCCTGTCCCGCTGGCACACAGGAGGGCTCTGGGTTGGTGACACACAGCCCTCAGGGGCAGCACTCAGTTCCCAGCTGAAGTTTTGGCATCTCTTTGCCCTGCCCTGGCTCTGCTTTCTCTAGATTGTCAGAGGGCTGAAGTACATGCTCCACGTRGACATCAAACGCACCGTGTGCGAGAAGAGGGAGCACTCCAGCCTGGACAGCTGCCACTTTCAGAGGAACAAAAACCTGCAACAGGTACATGTTCAATTCCCAATCACTTTGGGGTATTGAAATTGGAGCTGCAGGGGATTCTTGGCCATCTCCAGCTGTATCATCACCCTTAGAGCAGCTCTGCYATGCCTTCATACATGTACAAGCCTCTTCTCTGCAGAACTGGACACATCCACCCGGCCCACAATCCTGGGGAACTGAGTCAAAAGTGTGCAGGAGTAGGTGCTGAACAGAGAGATTTCCTGGGTGRGGGAGATCCTTACACAGGCTTTCCCATTAGACTACTTAGTAACCAGTATTTTTCCTAGGATAATGTGGCACAGTGTTGTCCCCTGCCCCATCACAGCCTGCAATGCTGAGACCAGCCTGACCTTTCTCACCAATTCCCCTTTTATTCACAGACGCTGAGATGCTACTTTGAGGTCTGGATCACACCCTGGACACACAAAGTACACATCCCCATTGCCCACTGTCACCAAGAGCCTTCCCTGTGAGAGCCTGACTTACAGGGCATCTCCCACCACGAGCTTCCCTTGCCTGGACTGCTGAGATCAATATTGAAGTGGGGAACGCACAGAACTGCCACAGAGCTTTTCTCTCAAAGCACATCAGGTTGTTTTTTTCCTTCAGACACTCAAAAACAGGCAAGACCTGCCTTGACTGAATGTATCTCTATGCACTTGTGTATCTGTTTTTCCAAAWCTAAACTGCACACCAGCACCTGTTGTCCTTCATTCCCCATCCACGCTCTGTCTGAATTTCCAWGCACTCCCAGGAAGTTCTGTTGCACTTGCTTTGTTCTGTGATGAAAATTCATAAATCTGTCATGGAAACAAATCTAACCCAGAGCACATGTGACAGCAACCCCAAGGAAAGCCTCACAACAGTGGGGTGGTTTGCCTGGGGATACACACACACAAGTTTTAAAAGGGAAAGGGTCAGACACATCTGTCARGAATGCAAGAGGGAGAGCTGTTCTTTTTTTTTTTAAGAGGTATGGATAAGGGTGTCTTTGAAACACAGACAGCCCAGAAATGACTCAGTCTAACWAATGCTTTCACTTTAATCAAAAGCTAAGCCTCACTGTGAAAGGGCATTGCTGCAAATGCCATGGTAAATAAATCTAATTATATTCCCGCAGAATAATTCTGCTGAGGTTAAACAGCACAGTTTTATTCAGGTTAAYACACAACATTTAATCTCTGGCAAACCACAGCTTGGATTCAGGTTCAGTACCATGATGATCTTCCAGAGGAGTGCATCCACCATTCCTTCAGCCATCACTCTTCATCCATGGGCCAATTATTGCTTACACTGGTCTAAGATCCCTGTTAGGAAGGGTTTGGGTAGCTGCTCCCTTAAAATCATGAAGTCTGAGCCCATGGTCAGTCACACACAGAGCAGCCCTTCTAAATGGGCAGGGTCCTGACCTCAGCCACGAAGTACACATTTTTTCCCATTTCTTCTGTTGCCTTCCTGCTGCAATATTGGAACTCCTATAGCAGTAACACCCCTACTTTCAGCCTTTATAASAACCATTCAGCCAAGAAAAGCTGGTGAAGGGCTCTAAGCCAAGGTCTGGGATCTTAGACAGTATTAATAGCACAGCTGAGGTGCCTGCTCCACATAATCCCAAAGCTGGGCAAGTCTCAAGTTCTGCTTCAGAAAAGCATTTGTGACAAACAGGTGAGCCAGCAGCAGCTCAAATTCAGCATCCAGTGCTGGAGAGCAA